TATATATATATATACGTAAGGCGCATTAGACGCGGGCGTTATTGGTCAGTCAAAATAAAAATTTGTTTACATATATATAATATTGATGACAAGCACGCGTGTACGGGTACGATAACTAAAAATAAATTTTTATAGGAATAGTGTACCGTCGTATTGTGAGCGAGGCGTGGGGAGGGGTGAATGCGTATAACAGTCTAGTCTAGACAACGGAATATGCGATAACGCGTGGCGTTTGGAAAGTTACATACAAACAACATACAACATACAACATACATGTGAAACTAATAAAAGCGTATTAAATAGGGCGACGGCTGATAAATGTGGCCTGAGTCGTGGGGCATCGTGTATAACGAAACGACGCGGGGCCGCGTCAATCACAATAAAAATTTGTTATACATATATATAATTGATGACACGCGCGTCTACGGGTCGGAAAATATTGTTGTCTACGAGTGGTGAGCGGGGTGGGGCGAATGCGTTACGACAGTCTAGTCTCAAGGTCATACACGACATAATAACACGTGCCGCGTGGAGTTACAAACTTACAAACAACAAACAACAAACGACAAACGACAAACAACAAACATACAAGTGAAACTAATATAAGCGTGTTAAAAAAAACACATCATAGTAAAATTAATACTTTCTCAGCTTCGCATCGAAGATAAAATAATTATTAAAGTTGCCTGTTATATTTTTTTAATAAATTAAGTAGACCATATGTCATTAACAATTAACAAAAGAAAAATTACGTTAACGTGAATACTAAAAATATATCCGTTTGATAATTTTAACTTAATAATTCCTATAATTAATTCAATAATTAATAAGTCATTTATACCCAGCATAACATTTTAGTATTTTAAATTTTAGGCATGTTTAAAAGAGAGTATTTTATGCCTTGCCTTTTAAAGTTCTAAAATAATGTGATAATTAAAGTACTGCACAGGCTGTGTTTATTTCAAAAAAATGTTGTTACAGTAAGTTTTTTATAATAGAAGAAAACGATTTTGAAGGGAATTTGGGATGAGACTTCATATAAGTTGAGATAAATTGACTAATGGCATCAAAAACAATGTTATAAAATATTTTAAGTGCTTGATTGACGTCAAAGTTATGAACATATATTTCTAGTCATCGCGTGCCAAGTATAAATTTAAATTGCATTAATCACTATTATAAAATTATATATTACATCCAAAAACAGAAGAGGTTTAGAATTTAAGGAAAAGCATGTAAAGTAAAGTGGAGGATGACGGGAATCAATTAAAAGTAGAGGTTTATGAGATAGAGAAATATAATTTATCTATGTCAGAGAGACCTAAATCTAATACATTATTACTGAAATCATGAATGATATTAAATTGAGTAAGATTATGATAATAAATAAAAGAAGAAAAACCAGTTTCATAAGTCGAAATATCGGTATACAAAGGCCTTAAATAATAATTTACTAATTTCCACATTAATTTAGGAATATTGTAATTTCCTAATAAAATATACTTATTACTAGTGTATTTATTATAAAATTAGCAATTGAATTAACGAATGTATAAAAATAATCACCATAAGTAAGTGGTGAGAAATAAACAGCACTAACAATTACAGACATATCAATCCATTTAATTAAAATAATAATTGCTCAAACGCAATGGAAACTATAGATAATTGGATCGGTAATTGGTTGGACATAAATTTTTATACTTAAAGCTCATAGTAAACCGCCTTCTTTTAAACGTGAGCTCTTTACATTACTCCTATCTCAACAATAAACATTATAATTATTAAAACCTAGTCGAACTTCACTAATCAGCGGTAACTAAGTTTCAGTAAAAACCACAACGTCATGATTATTAATAGCTATGTTACAAATAAAATATTCAACTTAACTAAGTAAATAATTCGTCGTGTTTTTAAATAGTAACTTTAACCTCTTCTAATGAGAGTAAAACGATGTAAATTTTATTAACTATTTGTTATGGGCGAAGTGACGATGATGAACAAACGGTAATTGGCACAATTAATTACAAAAAAATCAGTAAGGAGCCGTTTATTCGCACGAGAACAAGATGAAATAACAATTACAAACAATGTTGCACTGTAGTTAGAGACTAAAAGAATAAATAAATAATCAAAAGATGGTTTAAACGGTGCGGGCAGTTCGGTATGACGAAGGTGACTTACACGTATATTTGTGGAGGGTCGTCGTAGGGGACTTGCTTGACTTTGGCACGCGGTGCTAGTCAGTCTAACTACCATTGACACGTAGTATGGCTGACAAAGGTGGCAAAGGTCGCGGGGATCTGTGGAACGCGAACGACAAAGGACCGTGTCATATTGGAGACGAAGTTTGTTTTGCTGTACGGGTTACAAAATTCACAAGTACTGAAAATTCATGATTTAGGTCGAGATGTACTTTTTGACAAAACACAAGTTAAATGAAAATATACTGGGCAAATCGAACACTAGATACACTCCTTGTTATAATCGCGTATCATCTCAGGGTATTTACCGAAATAGACTTCATACATGTATAGAGAAACACAAAAGTATAGCTAGGGATTTAAAATAACTAAGATAAATAACCGGACTAGCGATAACGTGAAATATGTGTTACTATTACGATAGACAGCTGACAACTCAATTGGCATATAATAATACTTTTTGGAAAATTTAATGATCTATCAAAAATATTCTGATAAATTTTACGTTAAATACCATAATTTTTTTATTTAAACATGAAAAATTATAGAACTACCTATACGACTAATTTTCAATCCCCTTCATTCACATAGACAATATAAATTATAAAAATTAAATTAAAAAAAAATTTTTTTTTTATAGTTATTAACAAAATAGTGAAGTAGCGATCGAAAATATTTTAAAATAAAAATTATTGTCTATGAATAGTGGATATATATGAACTTCTAACTTAACTCCTAAAGTAGATACCAAAAATCTAAATTTGACAATTAATTCTGTATAAATGTTATTGATATATTTAATTCAATTAATATTATATTTTTAATAACCACTTGATTTTCCTTTATTCCTACTTAATTTTTATACTCAAAATACTTCACCTTATAGATTTTTGATTGATATTAGTATTTACCTTGATACTTCTGTGAATATTTTGAAGTAAATATAAACCGTGATTCTTCGTGTCGTATAAAAATGATAGCGACTGATCACTTATAAATCGAACGAATGAAAACAGAGTAATGAGAGAACAAATCTAGGAATCACACAGAATGAATTATTTTTTATGATAAATTGATAAACGATGGCGCCAACAACCTTCCCGACCGGTTATAGTTGAGTGCACTTGATTTTGTTGCTAATTTTGTTGCTAATAGATAATAAATTTTGTATCTATATAATAACATTCACCTTAATCTTTTTAAATGTTGTCCTCACAAGATTAAGTTATAATATTGAATACATAAATAAAGTTTAAAATTAAAGTTAATAACTACAAAACACATTTGAAAATAGATATTATTTTAGCAAAAATAAAATTGTTTATGTATTTTATATATTTTTTGATATTTTATGTTTTAAATTGCATCGTAGTAAATAAAATAAATATATTTGACTTTTTAAAAAAAAAAATTACAAATGAATTATTTACATGGGTTGTAATATTTCTAAACTTTTTGTGTGAAAGATTGTTTGATTAACAATGGTTTATCGATAGTTAGAGGCATCAAGATCACAAGATACATTAACCAAACTAGATTATTGCTTTTTACCTCTTTTTTTTATTGAGTGGAATTATTTGTAGTTTATTACTTTACATAAGTGCAGCGGCGTATTTATATGCAGGCATTTATATTATTACATCAATTTTATAATTATTAATTATGTATATTATGTATTACATATTTGATATTCTACCATTTATGTGTGATTTTTGTTCTTAATAATTAAGATAAATAAATAAAATAAGTAATACATAATTATTATGTATTACTTATTTTATTTACGTAATACATTAAAAATAATGAATATTTTATGATTTATTAATAAACAAAAATTTGCTTGCAAAACATTTTTAAATACTTACTTTTTGAGGGGGAATTAGTAATGTTATGGCGAATATAGGAAAAATTCACACCCCTCCCCCTCCAAAACGTAATGAAGCGCGGCAAAATTTAAAATGGCTATAGGTAGAAAATATGTGAGTACGCCCCTGGTTATAGACATATATATTTTCATTTTGTGTATAATTTTTTTTCGTATTAGTTTCAAGTTACAAAGGCTAACCTGTTTTGCAAGAACCTATTATATTTCCTTAGTTTGTGTAAATTTAAATCATCAAATTAACTTGATCTGGTGAATTAATTTCCTTAGAAGTTAATTGTAAACGTGTATTTTTTAAATAATTTTGAATTTATAATTGAAAATTTAATCTAATAAGTTTTAAAAATACCTTTAATAATAATACTACATGACCTTGATAAACAGTCAATTTGTAATAAAATGTTGCAACATAAAATAACATTAAGCTTTGTAAATTTGATCTCGGACACATGAAACGGTTTTATATTCAATAATTCTGGTAAATCTATCTCATTATTATTATTAATTAATTAATATTCAGAAAGATTACTGACTAAGAAGCTCTCGTGTAGAGACCCAGCTTTATCTACATAATAAATGTCTTAAAAGTTTTTAAAAAATCAGAATTAAAAGGATTTATTAGTTTGAAATTAATTTATTAATACAATTAAAATTAAAACTATATTAAAAATACTATTAATAAAAAAAAAAAATTAAAAATATTTAATTTAAAAAGGCACAAAAAATTATTAAAAAATCGCGGATATGTATTTCGGCTTTGATAATTGTGACATTGTTCCCGAAATAGGTACCCACGACTTTTTAGTAATTTTTTGGGGACTTCTCGAGTTAAACATTATTTCTTTTTAAATTAATAATATTTTTAATATAATTTTAATTTTACATAATATTAGCCACAAATGATCAATTTCTATTACATTATTAATACACATTAAACCTTTATTAAATTTTAGCGTTATATTCATAGCATTAATATAACAACATTGTTACATTAACTATTGTATTATATGTTTAATAAAATACTAAAAACTAACACTATTTAAATAAGTCGAGTTGCAATGAACTCATATGCATTACGATAAGCTGTTTTAAGCTAATTTAAAGTATAAATATATTCAGCATATCTGGTGTTAATACTATGGCTCAAAAGTAATAATAGTTTAAGTTTTCTTAAAAATATTGTACATGTTTTGAAATATAGGTTTTTTATTTTAAATACATTAAAATCCTGTAATAACTTTTTTGTTTTACCTTTTTCATAATAATCTTTATGATTATATTTTACAGATTTCTAGTCGTGAAAGAATGTGTTCATAGAATCCACCCTGTCCAATCATATCGAAAGTAATTATAAGTTCACAAGCACAAAATATATAGTCATTTTTAAACTTTTTTTTACCTTCAAAATTGATATTTATGAAAGCTTATAAAAAAAAAAAAGGTTGAACTTTTTACCAAATTTGTTTTTAGCTCAACTTCATAGTCTAAAATTGATATAATTAAATAGATCATTTTATTAGACTTAAAAAAATGGTATTGTGAAGATTATTATGTATTCAGGAAATTTTATAATTACTTTTTACAGTAAATTTATAAAAAAAGATCTCACTTTTGTTAAAATCACTATTTTTTTGTATTAATATCTATAGTGAGCCAAAAGTAAGGTTTTGGTTGTGATATAATATAATAAATAAAATTGGGTATGTTGATTAATTACTTTGAATTTTTGAGCACTTGAATAAAATCACTCATCTTACTTTTGGTTACTATAATTCAGTTTACTTAATATTATTGGGGTCGTGGAGTCCGAGGGTTTTAGAGAATGACAATACAATTTAATAAAAGGGTTATGATAAATATTGAGATTTAATGTGTGTATCAAATTTTATAAACTTTAGTGAATCATTTGAATAGTCTCACGTTTCAAAGGCACGAGCTTATGTCGGCAACTATGAAACGTAATAAGAAAATGCGTAGGTACGATCTTTGGTCAAGCACTTCGAACGCATTAAATAATTCTCATGAAAAACCAGTTAATAAATTTAGTATGTGTAAAGATAAATTAATTACTATTGTTTTGTCATTTTCTTCTCGGATTAAATAATTCCAAGTTATTGGAATTAAAATGTATCACTTACTTTATAATGTTTGTGCGGAATTGAAATGAATAAGACTGACAAGTTTTTCTTTCTGAATATTTGAGAGACTGGTGGTCTATTGCTTCATTTGACTCTAGGCTTGAGAAGTGGAATGTTCGTATTTTATAGCTTTTTACGGCTTTTTATATGAAATCTATGATCTATATATGTCACTAAAATGTAGGAATTGACCACCAGAGCTCTCATCTTTATTGAAACGAAAATTATAAGCAGGGATAATATATTGCATTGGTTGTGGTACATTTGATTTTTGTTAGGGATACTGTTACTTAATACATTGTCTTTGTAGATTAATTTACAGTGTTAACATTTATGATACAGATATTAATTTTAAACTGAACAAGTACAAACATCGTATTAATTACATTAGTGATTATGCTATGATATCAATTTAAGATAATTATTTGTTTTATGATAAACATTGCGAATAATATTAAATTTGAGCGATGAACGGTATCATAACATATCGAAATAAATAACTTCAATAGAAATTATAGTTATCATTTCTACGTAACTCTACCAGGGGCGGATCCAAAATTTATTCCAGGGGGGGGCGTCATTAGATACATTTTTTTCTTTTAAGAACTGATTTATTATTTTGTGTTTATTACATTAAATGTTTATTACATTTCTATTTTTAAAAATTCGTTTAATGTTTGCTGCATAATAATTTTTTAAATTACTATAGTATATGTTTTTTGATGACTATAAGGACATAGGTATATAAAAATAAACTCGTTGATCAAAATTAATTATTTATGAAGAACTTTATTTGAAATTAAAAGCTATTTAACAAATAAAAACAAAATAAACATTTCTTATAATATTATAACTTAACACCTAAGTTTGTACAAATACTATTAAAAAAATACATGTAGCGTGTTCTATAAACAACACGATTGCTTCAATATAGAGATATAATACAGTATGTGAGTACATATATATATTCTATTATTGATGTTATTTCGATAAAGCATTGGGTGTTCCTACATAATTCGCATGCACTTATTATTTTTAGATTTTTAGATACCAAGTCCTAAATAAAGGTATTTTAATTTAATCAGTTAGCCAGTAGCTGAGGAGGGGACGCGCGCCCCCTGCGCCCCCCACTGTATCTGCCACTGAACTCTACAAGAGTCAAAAGTTTCTACAATTGTAATATTCAGAATTGTTGAATGAGTATTATATTGTGGATTGACGAAGCATAAATTACAACACAATTAGTTAAAATAGAACCGTTTTTAAATTATAAATATTTATACCAAGAAAGTATTTCAAAGGACGGTAGTAATTTTACACATTGTCTTTTTGTGGGTGATATTGTTTTGTTTGTTCATAAGCGCTAAATATTAAATCATCATATTTTTTAAAAATAGTACTTGTTATAACTATTTTCATAACAGATAATAATTATTCTCAGCTATGTAAGACACTATCTATTAATTTACATTGATATTGCCCTAAAATATTACAATTATCATTATATATGTATTTATGTCCTGTATAGCAAGAAATATTTGATAGTCTATTTAATTTAATATTAAATATTCCGTCCTAATGTAATGTACTTTACTTTACCAATGTAAATTAGAACTTTGTTATTTGTATAACATAATATGAAGCTAATTAGTTTAAAAATGTTTAATAATTTAACTAAATAATCAATAAAACAGGAATATTATTCAACAAATTAAATAACCGCATTCATTATAACAATTTTAAAACGATACTAATTTAATAATATTTTTATTTCATTAAATGTGTAATATGGAAAGAATTATACAAAAATAATCGTGTAACATTATAGTTATAATATCATATAAATCATAATATATTGAAATTATCACAATATTACAAATATATTATTATTAATTAGGTATTAAATTTAGAATTTAAATATATTATTTTTGTACTATAATAAAAATATTATAATTCTTTTACTATAATAATATTATTATAATGGTATCTTCGAATTATGTACCATAAAATGG